CAAGAAGATATATACTTTATGGGGTCGGAGATGCATTAAGCTGCCTGTTACATACATTTGCAAAAATACATTTTACGCTTTTTACCCATTTTTAATGGGTTTACGGGTTTAAATACTACATCAGATAAACTTTAAAGCTAACACTAAAAAGGAGCATTACCAATTAGAAGTCACAGATATTCATGCATCTTGATTAATGAAAGTATCTTATAATAAGATCTTATAATCCGACTAGCAGGTTATAAAAGCAATGTTCTCAAAAAGCTTTGAAAATCATTTTAAACACGTATTCATTATATTTTTATGTAGAGCTTTGAAAATAAGTTGATGCAAATCGGACACAACTTAAAATTCACCAAAAAATTCTTAAAATATGCACTTTCCACCGGAGTTTTGATTTTACGAAAATTGTGAAACACGTCTCAACTGATTTTTTATGTAGATGCTTGGAAACAAATATGAAGGCAAAACGTTACCCACCAAATATATGACCACAAATTCACGAAGGAAGAATGGATTTTCCAAAAAGTGCAAATCACCCCTCAAATGAATTTGAGCAAGAACTTTGACGACATATTCGCGGTTTTGCGAACTTGTGACCCGCGTGGCTTACAAGCAGGAAGCGTTGACCACTGCCGATCTCAGCGCAGAGACCTGAAATCGAGTAAAATACTTAGAGTCGTATCCAGTTCCTTGCTGAACGTTACCGGACACGATCTGAAATTGGGCCTTCCACTTCTACTCCGGCTTAGTGAGCAAAATCTGCACGGAAGGCAGAAAGCAAAGACATTTTTAGATTTTCCTCTGGCAACATATCAGGAGAATATCCCAATTTTTGTTATATTACTGAGCTTCAAGGCCAGCATTCTACACAAGTGAAATTAAACATCGATTCACGCAGAGAGCCCGACACCAACATTGGATTGAGAAAGATTCCTACGGATACAATTATTAGATTAATAGATTCGTAGATGCAACTTGCTTAATCTGTATTCAAACATTTATGCGCCTGTGTGTCGATTGTCTGCCTATTCGAGGCAAATTTGACAAGATTTTAAGTTTTTGTGAACATAGAATTTGCAGCTTTGAATACATGCAGAATTTCATTATTTCATGTGACTCGTCGAAAACGAACAAAAACAAAGTCATACACAGCCGTCCCACCTATATGCTGTATAGTTAGTGGTAATATGAAACAGCCAAACTGTATATGTTAACAAACTTTTAAAATCTGGTATGTTTGGTTTTTTTTAGAAGTATTTGAACATTGCTCAAAAATCTCATAACCGATTTGAAAAAGCTTTACTTTTATGCATAAATGTTTATCTCTATATATTAAACTTTTTGGACTGACTTATTGGTGATCTACGTACAACCCATAACGGAAGAGCTAGGAAGCTGAAAATTCCATTGTAGCTTTTGTGATGAAGGTACACGTTAGGATGGGATTTCGGGGGATTCCACCTGCATGTGTGGGAATATTGCGAAATTATATGAAATATTTTTGTTTACCATCCGATCGGCCTAAAACTCATTTTTATTTCATTTACAAAATACTATCAGGGGTGTTTCAGGGGTGTTTTCGAAAAGTTCATTCCTTCTTGGTGGAAATGGGGGTCAAAAATTTAGTGATTGACGTTTCGCGTTCAAATTCATTTCAAAGGATCTATATGAAGAATCATTTAAGACGTTTTTCAAAGTTTTCGCAAAATCAAAGCATCCTCGGTGGCAAGAACGATTCAAACTTTTTTTGATGCATTTGTAAAGTCTGTCCGATTGGTTTCAAACTTATTTGCAAAGCTTTTCTTGAGAACTTAATGAATAAGTTTTTCATCGATATGGAAAATTCTACCCGCAAATGACTGGAAATTTGGCGAAATTTAATTTTTTGGGTTTGAAACCGATATCAAAACTCATTTTGAAAAATCTATATCAGAACTTATTTGAAAAATGAAATGCGGGTCTGTATACGCAAGTTTTTCATTCGGACTCAAGATTCTTACCACTAGACTAACAGGGCGAAAAAAACATTTGATTCCAACATTTGGTTCTTTATTCGAGGCACTTTTAACGTATGGAACGGGTAGATTTCAATTTTAAACGGGCGTGTACTAAGTGGAAAGGAAGTATATAACAATTTTAGCACAAAACGTTCCACAAACAAGGCCGGGGAAAACCCGCTTATCATTCATATACTTTTAAATTTATATCATAAGTTATAATATATTTCATCAATATTTTACGACTTTTGACTTTAAGTTTCGGAAGAAATATGAATGGTGTTCTTCACGTCTGTATTTCCATAATTGCATAAGCAAGGGGTATTTTAGACACTAATAATTGAAATCCGTGATGAGACGGCAAAAAAAATTTAATATTAGATCCAAGTAATACCACAACACCGAAAACTATATTCAGTCTGTTTTATACAATATTTGGTGTTTTTTTCATACACCTTGCCCACGAATTAATGAACAAAGGATTCCTTTAGTTATCGGAAAAAATATATGTTTATAAATGTTTATTAACAGCACGATTTACTGCTTATTTCTTAATGTATTAAATGTTATTTATGTTTCCAAGTGTGGATTGGTAACATAGTCGGTATTCCTAAAATGGTTAAAATAACAGGGGCTTTTCTACAAATTCTGATATCGGCGATTTTAATTGTTGGTGTAATCATTTTTTGTCATTTCCAATAAAATCCTCACTTTTGTTGTAGCCATTAATTTTCGTCGAAATGATTTCCACTTTTATTTTTCATCGGATGTCAACATAGAGTACTCTTATTTCTGAATAGCTTTCGAGTTTGCGCCCATCAAATGAGCCTTCCATTGAAAGAAGTACAAAAACAATTTTTATGTACCCTAGTGCTTCCTTTATTAAAGCATTTACGTAGTTCGTATTATGTCATAAACGTTTACTAGATACGCATTTTGGACATTATGATTTTCCAATCCTTCCCTCAGTAAGGCGGAGTATGCAGCAATACTTTACGTAACCACTGTCCTTCAATCCATTACTCGTTTCGCAAAGCTATGAATTTATATAATTGAGAGATATCGGCGCATAGTTCCGTTGGCATTCGCTGACATTTTTCTTCGCCAGAAAGTAATTTCCATTTATTTTTAAAACAGTAGCTGTCAGTACTATATAAATGAGTATTATTCTATATCATAGCTCTTGAAAATTTTAAAGTAGAAATAATAGGAGCAAAAGTATAATTTTTTGTTTTGTGTAATGTGGTACTTACTCGTCGATTTATTTTTATTTTTATTTTTTTTTTTTTGACAAATGTGCTCGACAAAAATTGCAAATAATTGATGTTGCTCAATCTTCTTTCCAAGTTGAATTCGAAGAATATTACTAGAAATATTTTGGAGACTTATGTTTAAGATATTTCTTATTTTTGTATTGGCAATGTAGGTACGACATACTTCATAGCAAAAAGCATCAGGACTTCAACTACACGAATTTGGGACCACAAGATAATTTATTTTATCTAGTATATTTTTGGCGATTTCGTGTTCGAATTAATGTCAGATCTTGTATGGGCAGCATTAATTTTAATAGGCCGTTAACAATCTTCGATGTTTGTTTGTTCTAAACTATCGCAGGTAATACATATGGTTTAAAAAATTTACTCCTCATTAGAGGATACATAGGTATACCAATATATATAGATAATAGCAGTGTTGGGTAACGGTAGACGCAGAGATCTAATCTTCCTCTAATGCGTAACGGTAGACGCGGTGAGCTTATCTTCGCCTAATGCGTTTGAGAGTCAACTATTCTGTACACCTGTAACGGGCAGTATATTGTAGGGGCGAAGTAGCAGCGCGGGGGCGAACTGAAAAGCTGACAAAGGATAGACGGCTTATCTTGTGATTTTTATGAGCGAATTAAAAATTGCAGCAGCATATAATATGTTTTCTAGTTTTTCCAAATTTTCAATTCACGATTATAACTTTCTAAATTCAAAAGAATATTATTACAAACAATTAGGTGGCACGAATCTGGAGTACCCGGCTAGGAGACCCCTTAAACCCTCTTCTGTCAGCACCAAATTCAGGTCGCACTACGAGCTCGTTTGCCTTATTAGAAAAAAAAAAAATTAAAAAAGAAAAAAAAATGTTTACTCATAAGGACTCGAACCGCAAACCTGCAACCGCCTCTAATCGTCATCCATACTGACAACTAAGTCTTGCTGAGAAATATTACGTATGTAAATCGCAGCATAGAAAACAATACAATTGCAATTGCAATGCTGTTGATAGAATTCAATAAAGAATCGCTTGAATGTGTGTATGAACATACACAGAATTACATATACAGAAATTCTTGCAATTTGCGCTAGCTGCCGCAAGCACGAGGCCAGCCCAGCACATTTTCTTTGATAACTTGTGTTTCTTAACTTAATTGTACTATAGAACATTTGTATATTCTCAAAAAGTCAATTGCATGCAAGTTGGCTTATTTACTTGATTTGAAGCTATGTGGTGATAGCGGGAACGTGGCGATAGCAATAAAATGAAGGATACTTGATATATACATACTATTCTAGAAGCTACATGTCAAGTTTAGTAACTCTAGCTCTAAAAAGATTTGCCTAAAAATATATCATTTCGAAATCGATTCTTATAGATTAGTTGCAACGGGGAAAGTTATCGAATATCGAAAACTGAGTCCTACAACGCGGGCACATGGAGGAGCCTTCTTCAAGTATATTGAATAGGTTCTGAGATCCTTGTGTTCATACATGAGGACGGATTGTTTCATATTACACACTTTAACATACTTTTGCACTATACCTTTTTTACCCCTGAACGGGGTAATCAGGGTATAAAAAAACATTTTCACATCAGTAAGAAACTTATAAATTACAATTGCGCAAGCTCACCTCTAAAATAAAAACTTTAAATAATACCATACTAAATGTTTTTATAATTCCTTACAACAATTTGTAAGTGTTGTTTCGCCATATACATCAAAGAGGTGGGTTTGAACCATTTGTTATTTGCGTATATTTTGTAGTTACTGTAAATTAACTTTACAATTTCACTTTATGTTGTTTTTATTTTAATTTTCTGTTAATACAAATTTAGTTATTTTTAAGCATATATATAATTACTAGTGTTTTATAAAACTAATAACAAAACTTAAAATCGAAATGAAAAAAGGCAAACGTATTAAAAACGAATTGGTTACATCCGTGTTTATAAAGACCATTTTCAAAAACGATTGCTTCCGTTTCCAAGCTTCCAGCCGACGAGCGCTGGGGATTAGCAAAATGGATGCACCCACAAGCGATGTGCTTATCGATGCGAAATTTATTCATTTTTCAAGCACTCGTGTTATAAAAGCCATCGCAACATTGCGACCACTAAAAATTAAAAGGGGAAAAATCAAGTTTTAAATTAAGCAACATAAAATCACAAGCCATAAAGTTCTTAAAATATATTTGTATATATTTGTTTAATCAGCAGTAAAATATTAATTAGAAGACAGAGGGACATTTACATACGCATATGTACTTCAAATGTAAATCAAATTGTATGTATATGCTCCCAAATGTCTCTCGTGTTCTCAGTTCGACTGTACATGTACATGTATGCATTTTGTGTCCATTTGAAGAAATAAGAGAATAACAAATAAATTTAATATTTGGCATATGGAATGACAAAGTGCGGTAGGAAAAGTAAAAGGAACATAAATAAAAGAGTGTGCCATTTGTTATTTTCACAGTCTTTTAAAGTAGCTATACAGAAAAACATTGATCTACCGATTTTAGAGATCAGTTTTTATTTTTTGAATTTTTATTTTTTAATATTTTGCCTATGCTTTTTATCTACAGAAGCTGTTATAAATTCTATGTGTAGCTGAAGGGTACCGCAAAGAGCACCCACTTCGTTCCGTTGCTACTCCTCTTTTTGAGCAACTCAGAGCAGTGTATCGTGAGACCGGGGTTGCCACCCCTCCAGGAGAATCATTATTTGCTAGCAGCTTTAAAATATCTATGAACATAAAATAACTAATATTCTTTCACGAAAGGGCATAAAATATATTAATGAGTGCTTTGGAAAGAAATTCCCATTTGGAAACTGGAAACCTTTGGAGCTACCTTATTCTTAACATCCATTAAGCAAATATCAGGAATAATTCATTAAATAAAAACAAAACAGTCAACGAAACACTGTCAACGAAAGACTGTCAACGCAAAAGTGAAAATACAGATAATTTTCTTTTCGATAATGTTACAGAAAAGTAAACGTGAAGTTAATATAACATAACTGTTTGGAATGTAACATTTCGGCGAAAAGGTTCGTAGGCTAACATAGAAAAAATCTTTGTTTTATAAAATTTGATTTTATTTTTTAATATAATTGCCTTCGAGATACATTGATTACAGCGGTCATACAATTTCGATACCAATTTAATAGGAAACTTTTGATGTTTTCGTCGGTGACAGCGTGAGGGCTTTCACAGTGTGCACCGTCCCAGTGGCCATTTCGTTCAAATTTGGCACACAACTTCTAAACAGTTGATTTTCCTGATGCAGTGTCCGAATAATGTTTATAAAGTCAAGACTTGGGTAAAACAGTATTTTTTCGGCAAAACGCAGTGTTTTATTAACACACACAACTTCTATTATCCACTTTTATACCCTGACGCGCCCCATTGCGCATGGGATAAGGGGTAGGTCGTGATCTGCGCTAAATAGCTAAGAAAATTGTATCTTTGTCAGCCAGAGACTTTGCCAGAGCAATGGATAACAACACATTCAAATATGCTGTTATGTATGTATATTCACACGCATACAAACATAATTGCTTGCACGGCCCTCATAGAGAGCTGAGAGCACATTCTAATTTTAGCTTTTTCGTTCTCTCGGCTGTGAGAGCGCAATGCTACAGATTTAATTTTCAATATCAATTTTAAAAAAATCAAGCTGCATAGTAGCATTTTATTGTATGGCGTTACTCATCTTAGTGTTTATATTGTTTTTGGTATAAGGGTATATTGTGTTTGTGCAAAATCCAAATGTATGTAACAGGCAGAAGGAAGCAGCTTCGACCCCATAAAGTATATATATTCTTGATCAGCGCCAATAGCCGAGTCGATCTAGCCATAACCGTCTGTCTGTCTGTCCGTATGTATGAACGCAAGGATCTCAGAACCTATAAGAGCTAGAGACTTGAAATTTTAGATGTAGGTGCTCCTAGTGCCTGCGCAGATCGCTTTTGTTTTCGATAATTGATAACATACTCCATTTCCAAGCAATCGATATCGCGATTTCGGACCCTGCCAAGGGAACCTTTTTTAAAATTTATTTGGTGTTGTAATAATAGGGTTCAGGGTATTCCCTAGTCGGGAGCTCCCGACTAGAACCTCTTGTTTTAATATATCTTTATTACTTCGAACAAGCGCGTTGCGTGAACTTCATTCGGTGTTGGAATAAGAGGGTTCAGAGTATTCCCTTGTCGGGAGCTCCCGGCTAGAGCCTCTTGTTTGTATCTTATTCTTATGAAAATATTAAGTTACTTACACTTTATTTTTGTTGCTTTAGTAAATTCGATTTGTCTGTTATAGTATTTAATCGGTCTTTCCGTAGGTATATGAAGTTGCTACTACAGTGCTACTACATTGCAAAGGGTTTCGCCTAATAAGATTTTTTTTTAAATTTATTCTGAGTGGTACATTTGCGACATAACTTTCCTTGGCTAGCAAATATTTGATATGGTTATCAAACTTATTTACCTTAATTCGCCATCTGTGAAGTTTCATGTTTGGTTCTTTCATATTATTATGCCAAACTAAAAGTCTGTGATCAATAAGGATCCCGAATTTTCTGTGATCTATGGTCTTGGCTATTTCAGCGTAGTTTAAAATTTGCTTCAATTAGTTTCGCAAATAGTGGAATACACTATTACATCATCCATATATACTAAGCAATCTTTATAAATAAGGTGTTTCAAAACATGATTCATGCAACGTTGAAAAATTTCTGGGGAATTTTTTAATCCAAATGGCATTCGAGTATACTCGTACAATTACAATAGCAATAAGGCGATTTTCGGATCATCCCTTATATTTGTTGTTCCAGTTCATCGAAGCCTAGGAAATTGGATCCTTGTTTTTAGTGGTTATGTTATTGTACTTGTGAAGTTCAAATGTTCACCTATTTTGTACTCCATGGCTCTAAGCTCGAGCAGTTTTTTGTTCTTGCCAATCATTAATGTAGTATCCTGTAATCTAAATTTCAATGGCGTTAAAGAAAAGGAGTTGCTGACGGGGCTCGTCAGTTGGATATATCCGCATTATGTAGTCTTTGCGTCGTATGAACGCGTGTAGTTCCTGGGTGGTTCTACTGTATACAGGCACCTGTCTCATTTTGCAATTCCCAGATGCAGCCACTAAATTCAAAGCGACAATAATTCACTACTTAGTATTCCAGGTTGTCCAAAAGATCAACTTTTATTGGATATACATAAGGTTTTGTCGATTTACTCAACATGAGATAGAATATCCTTTAACACAGCACTGTTATGAATTTAAAATACACTTCGACCTGGGACTCAATTGTCCTTCAGCGGTCAGCACATAACTTAAACGTTCGCAAGTATTGTTCTTTAGCGGGTCTGCATTAGTGAATTAGCACCGGCCTACAGTTACATCAACCACGCATTTTAAAAATTTGGTTGTTAATAAAATATAATTTTATTTAAACCTAACGAAACTACCGAAGTACTTGTAACAGTTATACTCACTTTGAATTTCCAAAAAAAAGACTCAATTACTATAATGTAGCTATTACTTATCAAACATCGGCTGAAAGCTTTTTGGAAGCTTAAATAATGTATGCTTACTCTTTTAGCAAAAGCCCTCCTCTCCCTAAGCATAAGGTCGTCTCGATCGAACTTGTTTTGTAAGTAATTTCTTGCGAATGTTTTTCGTGTGCTTTTCCTCTATGGTCAAAATAGTATAATAAAATAAAGAATTTTGTTGAGGGACATAGTTAACAAATATTTTTGGGCGAAAACCTTATTGGAACCTGGATTTCAAGTGTAAATCGATTTTAAGCTTATTAACGTATTTGCCCATACCAACTTACCCTCAGCAAAACACTTGCCCACATATCAGTTGATAGGCACATTTTCAGGTACGTTTTGAACATTCTTATTATTATGAAGACTGGAGAAACGACAGGATATACAATAATGCATTGTGGATACGAATTTCATTCAGAAGGATCTTCGTTTTCCTGGAAGTCGAATAAGTCATCAATAGCAGCCAAAAAATATTATATTTAGTCCGTCTTGAAAAAATTTGAATCCGGCATCCAGCCAATCTCAGTGAACATCTTTAGCTCAAAGCAAAGTTAAAACGAAAGGAAATATACGCTTTTAGATAAGTAAGTCCAATAAATGTTGAATGCAAGACGTAATTGATTTGATTTTATATTTGGTCAACCAGCTTATGGCGCTAATTACGCCATTTGGTATAGATCAATCAATTTATATACATCTAAGCCTCAATCCCAAAACCTGCAATTGTTTCAAACTTTATTTTTAATTTTGGTTTTCGGAGCGCATTTTATAGGCAATATAAGTTGTTGAAATGGTCGAAAACTTGCCATAATTCCATGCATTCGATAAAAATCGAAGTCTGGCTTTTAAGCACATCTTTTATGCTATAACAGCAAGCGTTAGAAAATTATGATAAATAATGAACTTATGCAATGTATGTAACAAACAAAAGGAAACATCTCCGACTGCTTAAATATATATTCTTGATCAGCATCAAAAGCCGAATAAATATAGCCAAATCCGTTAATCGTTAGTCCTCCTAGTGCCTGGAATACGAATTTGTTTCCGATAACTTTCCCCGCAATCGACAAAAATCGATATCGAAATCCTATTTTATGTTTTATGTTTTAAAAGCTAGTATCACCAAATTTGACAAGTAGCTTTTCGAATAAATATATATCAAATATCTTCAATATTAAAGCAATGGCCATTTCCGCCCGCGCCGGCAACATAGCTACAATCAAATAAAATAATTTAAACTACACACCAATAAAGACCTCAATTTTAATTGTGCAATTGTCTTCTTTTGAATAAAATAAATATTCTATAGCAAAATAGGATCACTGCTGAAATTTTCATCAACGGTCATCGCTTAAAAAAAGAAGTTATTAACGTAAGCAGGTGCTTATATTGACACTTGTTAGCTACAGCTATGTGTATCCCTGCACATTCATGCGCATCTTTATTGAATTGGACTGTATTCTGTGCTGTGTGCATGTACTGCTAATTTAATCGGTCTCGAGTTCTATTGAGGGAAATATTTTTTTAAGTTATATTATCGCTAATGCAAATGACCTCGTAGCGCTTTCAGGGTTCCCATAGTCCAGAATTCCCGACTAAAGCATATTACTTGTTTTATCTTGCTGTTGTAGCTTCTGTGGGCTACAGATGTTGTGTAACAATAAAAATGGAGCATAAAATTGTGTGCTTTGAAAAAGGTCTTCTAAAAGCAGACTGCTGCACACCACTCAATAATACCACGATATGGCTGTAAATCAAAATGCATAGATTACACAGGTCCGCCCAAGATGTGGTTTTTATAATCGCTGCGTTTATGGGGCAGAGTAGGACTAGGATTAGCTTTAAGATCGTTAATATTCGCAAACTTAACGATCAGTCTCAGGACACTCAGACAATTCATCGTCCGGACCACCGGCTGTGGTAGTTGTCACAGCTGATATTATACTCACTATCGCACTTGAGGGTCTAAGCCTCCTGTGGGCGCTACTCCGATTAAGCATATTTTTTTCTTCACAAGATTTCCTTAAATTATTTATGTAAGCTAAGATTATAGCTCAAGGTATAACGGAAAACAAGGAACGGAAAACAGCTCTGATATTAAAACCACTTTTTTAGAGGCATTCAGCTAGCTATCTAAATATCTTAAGTTTACCTACTTAATTGTTAAAGGTCTTAAATCGGAACTATCTTTCTAACTAAGGTCTGCCCTTTAAGAACATCTTTTACTTTTGATGTTATTGAGTTTTTGGTTGTATCGGACATCACAGTTTTTTCAGTAATTTCTTTTAAATTACTTACAGAATTCCTTACCTTACAGTATCGAAGGAGGTTTACAGCTGTTGCCATTCCCCCACGGTCCTTTATGTCAATTTATCTAATTCGCTATTCGTGGAATAATGTACAGATGATATTAGGCTTCACCTTGCTTATAAAGATATTGCTTCCTGTAATCTATTTCAAGCTGACCATGTTGCCATTCAGTCCTGGTCTTAGCCAATAAATATAAGCTTTACGGTTTGGAGAAGTTAGTAAAAACAGCAGACAAGCTATTAAAAGCTTCAACGGCTTTACAGAAAATTCAGTAAATTTGGATTCTTCATCCATAACTTTAAAGCATTGAAAATACTCACGCTTATATTCCCCATACAAATTCCAATATGCGCACGTATTAGTAATGATCCTTGACGGAAAATAGTATGCCCTTTTGTGTTATCCATGGATAGTATCTTGTGATTACCTTGCAAGTGACATGAGTTTATTGGTCGGCAACTTAGGTTGTCTTTATGGCAGGTTAATTTAATGCGGCAGTCTTTTTAGACAAAATAAAACAAGAGGTTTAAGTCGGGAGCTCCCTGAACCCATTAAAAATGGGTATAGGGGTATATTGTATTTGTGCAAAATCTAAATGTATGTAACAGGCAGAAGAAAGCATCTCCGATCCCATAAAGTTTTTATATTTTTGATCAACATCAATAGCCGAGTCGATCCAGCCATGTCCGTCTGTCTGTCTGTCCGTCCGTCCGCCCGTCTGTCCGTATGTATGAACGGATCTAAGAACCTATAAGAGCTAGAGATTTGAAAATTTAGATGTTGGTGCTCCTAGTGCCTGCGCAGATCGAGTTTGTTTTCGATAATCGATAACTTACTCCGTTCCCAAGCAATCGATCAAATCGATATCGAAATCCTGTTTTTTTAGGCAAATTGTGTAAATAATGAGACCTAGCGTCACCAAACAAGATACGTTGCTTCTAGAATATTATATACATGTCAAGTATCTTTCATTTTATAACTATCGCCACCTCCCCGCTCCCACCCTAGAGCTATAAATCAAGTTAATAACTTTTATTGCCAACAAATTTAAGCCACAATTTAAATGCAATTGATTTTTTCAGAATACACAAATATTCTATGGTACAATTCGATATATGTAGAAAATTTCATAAATATCGGTTAAGAAAAATTCAAAGTTATATGCAACTCCGCAATTGGATTGGGCAGCAGCTTTAAGAATTTCTGTATACACACACACACACACACACACACATTCATGCGCGTCTGCTGCGCATTCTAGCAGCATTGTAATTTTAGTTCCTTTTTTTATCATGAGTATATAATTATCAGTATGGCTGCTGAGTCTCTACTCACTATGACTCTTCATAGCAAGTAGTGCGGTCTGTCGCGAGTTCGAGCCCTACTGGGGAACGTATTTTTTTTTTACTGAGTAGAGTCGACAGCAAGTACTGCCGTCAGTGGCGAGTTCGAACCCTGCCAAGAAAACTTTTCTTTTGAATTGATTTGTGTTGGAATAAGAGGGTTCAGGATATTCCCTAGTCGGGAGCTCCCGACCTCCCGGAACCTCTTACTTGTTTACCCATGTTCAATAGGTGTAGGGTATAAAAAAATAAACAGGTTTAAATACATTATTCCAACATAATGAAAAGTAAAACATTGTCTAATTAAGTAGATTTAGAAAATCATAATACATACATTTGTCAAAATTTACCTAATTATAAGCCATTTTTACTTACATTTTGCAGGTAATAAAATCGGTCTAATGGCAAGCATTTTTTATTTAAATATGCCAAAATCAAACAAATAACTTTGTAAATATTTAATCATAAATCCTTTAAAAACTAAAAAAAAAACATTAATAAAAAATAAATTGTTTTAATATACAGAGATACACATAATAAATACAAAGAGAATAAGAGTTTTTGTGACAACATTAAAAGCAGAAATTTTAGAGTAACATTGAAAATACTCGCTCAGTCAGCATTACACATGGTATATATGGTGACTTAACCTGTTAATATTATCTCTTTCCGTCCGTATGTATAACTGCAAGCATCTCAACACCTATAAGAGCTAGACACTTGACTTTAGCTGTAAGTCGTCCTGTAAGTGCCTGCGCAGATCGAGTTTGCTTCCGATAATCGATTACTTAGTGGTTTTATAAAGTTTTAAAATAAGACATGCTTTTGCTGGCCTCGAGTTTGGGGCAAGAATTTCTATATACACATTCTTGCGCATTTTCTTTAAATTCTATCAACAGCATTGCAATGGCGATTGTATTGCTTTCTGTGCGGCTATTTGAATTCACTGTTTTCTCAGTAAGGATTAATTATTAAGGTGGATGTTTATTAGAGGCGGTGCCAAGGAACTTTTTATTTATTTATCTATATTTTTACAAACGTAGCGTGTAGCACGAGCTGCATTTGGTGTGGAAGAAGAGGGTTTAAGGTATCGACTAGGGTCGGAAGCTCCCGACAGAACCCCTTACTTGTTTTCTATTCAACATGTTCTGCCATGTAAATCCAAAATATCATTCAACTGGCAGACACAACGGTTAAGTCCAACGGTTATTTTCAAAGTATCTTTCGACGTGTAAATAAAGCAGGCAAATGTAGAACTTCAACTAGCCACCAAACGTAAACCAAATGTAAATACATACATATGTTTATAAATGATAACTTTACTTTTTCAAGTCATGTTTACAAAAACTTGGCATTTATTAGTTTCACTATAGTTCTGACTATGTTCTTGCATGAAATACTAATTTTTTTTCTAGATATCTTTACCAAATTCGACATTCGTTTATATTCTGATATATAAAGAATTTATTATACTTGTTAGTAATTGTACCCAATAGTTTTATTTTAACGTAAAATATACAATGATTAAATGGGTACAGACGCCCAAGCGGCGACCTTTTGGTAGGGGATGTGTTTCTTATGTCTTCTTGTCATCTTCAGAATATGGTATTTTCATTCATAAATTGTTATTAAATAATTTTCTCAACCATTTGGAATTCGAACGTAAGGATGGGAAATACCAAAGATCAATATTGATATTAGAAAATCGGTGGCTTTTTTTTTATTTTTAATATTTAGTCAAAATATAGGAATATTATATTTAAAAAACTTCTTTGATTGATTAATTGATCTGTTAAGCCAATTTACAAAGTTTATGAATATTATCTAGTTTTGTTTTAGGGATACGAAAACATGAATGCTTAATGGATTCAGATATGTTTTCTGTTTGTTTACACAAACGTTGTAACATTAAATTCATTCACAACGTACATACATATGTACTTTGACTCGTTTCACGTTCATTATTTCAGGGTAGAACAAATCGAATATGTACATACATACATACATATGAAAGTTCATGCATTTGAACACTTGTGTATTTTATTATGTATACATACACATTTTATTGGTCTTACGATATTTTTCTTTTATTTTATATGGATAACGAATGTTCGTAGATTCTTTAAAGTTTAAACCAAATGCTTATTTAGCATCATAAAAATGTAAATATTAATACATATGTTAATAAAACTGTCCATGATGTACGTACATGTGTATATGCGTATACCCGTTAGTTTGTATACAGATTGGCAGCAAATGAAAAAATTGTATGTATATAGATAATGCTCCTTCTAAAATTTAGCGAGTTTTAAATATATTAAGATATAAACCATTGCTTGCTCACACATATATATATATATATATATATATATATATATATATATGTATATACATGTATATACATATATGTATATACATATGTACATACATATTTTTCACTGACATATGTATATACATATTTGAATAAATACGTTTGCAAATGGGTACCTGGGATCCGGTAAAATTAATTTTTTGCTGGCTCTTGCTGCTGGTGTGCACTTTGACTTTTCCATTGCCATCAAATAGCTGACATCAGCTAAAACAGCTTCCAAATCTGCCATTTCAGTAGTTTATACAATATGTGTTTTGTTTACGTTTATATGGTTTGCTTTGAAAAAAGTAACTTTATGGAACAAACACAATATTTTCAATTTTAAAGCACCAAGGTATATAACAACTGAGATTAAATTAGTGTTTTTCTATGAATGATCAATAAAAGTCTTATTTATGCGTTACTTCCCGAATTTAATAATATTTCTTGTTTTGAACACGACTGAAAAAGCTGTTTACCAATGCGTTTAATGATATGGTATTTTATAGTCTCAGTTACTTGTAAAAGTACTTTTAAAATGTATTTCCAGCGAAGACATCACTAATAACGTTACTATCCATTGAGATACAAATTAAAAGTATTCAACCCACAGCGCCAGGACTGGCTCTTGAAAAAAGCTGTTGTACAAAAAATTACAAGAAAGTGCATAGTAGTGTACAAATATAATTAAAAGAATATTTTCCGACCTTGCCCGTGGCAAGTTTTTTGATTTTAGATAAACATTTTAACAAAATATTTTTAAGTCCATCGAATAAGGAAGCAATATAATAGAAAAAACGAGGAGCCCTCAAGCTTTTAATGATTAGGCTTCGCGTTGATAGTTTCCTATATAGAGTCACTATCGATTTCACGACTATTAGAAAATATGTTTGAAGTCCATCAAATAAAGAACCAAAAGTTAGAATCAACGGTTTCCGGTCAAGATAGTTTTGCTTTGAGAATCTTTGACCCGCATTTTACAGCCAACAGCGGTTTATTTAGCAAACAGATTTTGCGAAAATCATGGAAAATAAGTTTTACACCAATCGAAAAAAAAAACTTTTATATAACGGTTTCTTGCCAAGTTCCAAAATCCCTGAAACATGTTGTGATCAGGTTCTTATGAAGGGATTTGACAATCAGCTTGAAGCAAATCGGACAGATGTTTAATTCGCATTTTCTAACAGGAAGCTTGCATTATGCGGAAAGTGCGAAACATATCTTTATTAATTTTTCATTAGGATCCTCAAAAACAAATCAATGGAAAAAAAAATTTTTCAAAAAGTGTCAAACACTCAAACAATCAAACACTGAAATAAAAATCTTTTAGAGTTTGAGAATATCGGACGGTGAACAAAAAAGTTTCGTAAATTCGTTTTTAACTTTTTTATATACTTGATGGTGGAATTTCTCAAACCCATATAATCATTCAATCAGTCGGCCATGACAACGGATATATATATATATGTCGAATAAAGGTGTACCAAAGGGAGAAATAAGTAGTAAGTGTAATAAGAGGGCACCATAATATTGTAAGTGGGGAATATGTACGTAAAATGTGTGTGCTACCCTTTGGCGGCTGATTTGTGTAAGGACACGAAGAAAGCGTTGCAAGAAGTAAAAGCGGTTATACTTGGTATTCGTTGCGTTGCAAGAAAGAAAAGCGGATACCGCTGGTTTTCGTGGATATTCGTTGTGATGCGAAGAAGGGAATTTATTAACACAGACGAAAGTAAATGGTCGGAGCGAACAGACGTGATTGCTCACCGCGAAAATAGTTAAAAGATCTAATTCCCCCAACAAAGAAGCCGGGACTCGCTGCTCGAAGTGAAAAACCTATGAATTCACCGGACCATCCGACATATATATAT